CTTAACAGCAACCCAGTTTAAGGTCTAGGGCTGTAGGGTAAATCAAACAAATCTCGACATGATATTGGTACTGGGCAGTTGCAGGGAATAGAGAATATGCTGTAGAGGAACTATACAGGGATTATATTCCCTTATTCCCTACTAATCCTTGTATATAAGTATTGGTACCTCTTATGTGTTGCTGCGCCTCTTGTGGTACTTGTTTAGGCCCTGGGGTTACTCTGCATCGCTCACGCTGCTGCGAAGCAGCCCCATGTTCAGGCAAACTTCAACAGAATCACTGGGAGTAGAGGGGTGGCATGTCGGGTCTAGGTATTGTTCAAATCCCTGAACCCTGAACCCTAAAACAGGAGCCTGACTTTCAAGAAAATCCCGAATGCAACGTAGTCCAAGCTTCGCATCTGTAGAACACGCTGCCTCGACGCTCCAGGAGCAACCAGAAGAAACTCTTGTTGTAGTAAAGAAGCATCCTTCTCTGCGGATTGGGTTTCATGTCAGGCTGTTACTTAGGATCTGACGTTCAAGAGTTTAAGATTCAGGGTTCAGGACTCAAGGCAGGAGTCCCCTGTTCAGGGCTTGGGAAGAGTTGCGCATGCTCCGAAGGCCCTTGTTGCATGATGTTCAGACCACTTTTGCAGAAGAAATGATTTGATCGAAGCTACGAACCCGAATGCAGGCACGAGCAACATCCTCAAACTGTTTTGTTTCGATCTCCTTGTACCACCATTACGCGACTCCTTTCATGGACCTGCTCTCTCGGACTCTTCCAGAAAATCTTCTTGCCACCTCTCAAGAATTCCTGGTGTGACCTCTTTCACGGCGTCTTCTGTGGACGTCTTTGAGGACCTCGTCTCACAATCTACGAAGTCCTCGTCCCTGGCGACCCCCTCGCTTCTCTGGGACATTCTTTAAGGACCTCGTCTAGAGATCAGGAGCTCCACTCTGACTCTAGGGATTTAGGGTTATAGGCATAGGGTTTAGGGGTGTAGTATATTGGGGACGACTAGTGGGATAATGGAAAATAAAATGGAAACTACTAAATTAAAGGGGCTATATGCGAACTCTTGCGACTTCACCTCAAGACACCGTCTCACGACGCACTCCAGGACACCCTTTCTCCCGACCTCTTCCGAAAATCCTCGTCTTGTGACAACAACATCTTACCTGGACCCCCAAAGTAGGAAAAATAATAGCCCAAACTATAAGCCCTATATGCTAAATCCTTAGCCCCAACTCTAGGCCCCAAACAAACCATGAAGCCTCAACCCCGAACCCTTCATCCTAAACCCTGAACCCTAAAACCCTCTCCTGAACCCTAAACCCTAAAACCCTTGACCCTGAAACCGGGCTGCCTCCTAGCTGGGGTTCATGCCGCTTCCTCGGACCTCCTTGTCGGGACAGCGCGTCGGCTGAGGTTTAGGGTGCACGTAGTAGGCTCTGGGTTCAGGGAAAGATTATGAAGTTATAGGGTTTAGGGTTAAGGAATGTTTCTCTAAAGGTCCAAGTACCCAATCTTCTTATATTTTCACAAAACCTGTACTGCAGGGCCATTATGCAGGCCTAAATTACTGGGTGGTTGGACCCCTAAGGTCCTAAGGTTCCCGAAGCCCTAAACCCTAAATCCTTAAGCGCCTAGGGTGGAAAAGTAGGCCTGACTGACAGCTTTTGAAGATGTCAATTTGACCGAATCCAAGACCCTCTGCTAGTTCGCGTCTTAGGGGTCCGTAGTTGGGATTGAAGTTACTCAGCTCCCCACTATATACATTAACCCCCCCCCCACCCCCCGCTGTTCAACATACCATAGTGCACCACAAGGTAAATTCTCAATCCTAGGGGGCATTTTTTAAATGCTGGGGAGAGGAGACCATAAGTGGAAGCGCGCACCATTCCCGGGTCTATGTGAAGTAATGATTGCCACAATTCTGGAAGAAACTTGGGACTATTTCCTGGACCCTCCAACTACCCTCCATTTAGGCCTAAGTACCCATCATTATGCGCCATATAACTCCAATCAAGGGTAGTAGGAGTGTCCTGACTTTTAGAACTATTCAGACCAGAAGAATGGTCGCCATTTGAGACCCCGTATTCAGCAGAGTCAGATTCTTCGTGCAAAAATGCCTCTCTTTTTTAACGCCCCTTTTACGATCTGCTTCCAGTCCAGTAAAGCTCGTTACCAGCGGGCGTTTCACAGCCGGCTCAGCCTGCCTGCATGCCCCATAGAGAAAAAATGCCTCTAGGTAGCAAGGAACGAATCCGTCTAGTAGTCTACATATACTGCCCACGAACATACGCCGCTTTCTTTTCCATTTACATGCCCTGAACCCGAAACAGTAGTTTTCCATGTTGTTGTCCTTTCCCGAAACCCTAAACCCCGAATAGCATTTTTCCATTTTCTTTTCCATTCCCTAGACCCTATACCCTACATAGTAGTTTCCATGTTCGTTTATGTGTCTTCATTCCCTGCTAACCAGAGAGAAAACCAACAAGGGGCAACAGAAGGGAGCTTTGTGAGTTTCTCAAGAGGGGGGAAAACCCAGGAACCCAAGGGATGTATAGCGGTTATAAGGGGATTTGCGGTTTTTAGGGTTTTAGGGTTTAGGGTAAAGATCTATGGAGATAATGTTGAGACATTCCCTAGGCACTAAAGCCGCTGCCTGGGCCACTAGAAGTTCACCAAAAACAAACCCGAACAGCCCGGCACCATTTTACCAAAAGAGCCTCAGTAACACCAACACTGGATTTAGGATTCAAGGTTTATAGGGTTTAGGGTTTAGGATTTAGGGCTTAGGGTTTAGGGGAGTCACATGGTGATATCTGTGGAGTCTGATTTTGAGGGATTGAGTCTACCAAAATCCTCTTGTGAACTGTATGGGGACGGACCCCGGCGATTCTTTTGATCCCCACTCGCAGTTGATGCGAGTTTTTGGGTTTAGCGTTTGCTGAGCTTGCTGAGGGTATTCTGGGAGAATGACAGGCAGGCACTTCCAAAACATATGGCAGTACTGAAGCTCTGAACCAGGAGCTTGAATCCTGAATCCGCAATACTATGCAATGTCATGCATAGCTCCAAAGAAACCTATGACCCCAGACCCTAAACCCTAAACCCTCATCCCAAATCCCTGAATGTCTATATCCAAAACCCTTAAACCCTAAAAGCTTTCAGGGACTCCTCCACAATTCGAAGGAGGAGCCGAACCGTCGCACTTGAGCCAAAGATTCAGATTTTAGCGTTTAGGATGCAGGGGTTAGGGTTAAGGGCGTAGGGTTTAGGATTTAGGGTTTAGGGATAAGAGGGGCCTGGGGTGTAGATGGATTAAGAGTTTACTCACTGCAGGTTAGTAGGGAATAGGGGTATAAAGTCCCACATAATCCCTATATACTTTATCTCCTCATTCGCTACTACCCTCAACCCTAAACAATGCAGAAAGACAAGGGGTTGCTGCTACCAGGTGAGCACGTCCACACAAGGCTCCTTTGAGGCTCGTAAGGGGTTTACCTATCCCCCAAAAGTAAAATAATAGCCCTAAACCCCTAAAAACAGCCACAAACGCGATTATTGTACATGCTTTTGGGCTTCAGGTAGGTTTCCAGTGGCAACTACCCGCCTGAAGCTGTCCTGAATGCGGGGATACCACAGAGTGCTACGGAAGTTCACCTAACCCGGAGCTAGACAAACTGAAGCAATGGATTCTGCTTTTGACGAGCGGGCATATAGGGTACTACAGAACCAAGGCTTTTTTGGAGGTTTCTATCTATCAACCTTTGAACTCAAAGGGGCGCGGGTTGGTTCAAGGGTGTAGGTAACTTAGCAACCGCCCAATACTTCTGCATTCTCTCTAACACACCCCAAGACTTCAGAGGCGAGGGGCGAAGTGTTTCAGGTTAAGGGGCCCCTAAGCCCAGACACTGAACCCAAAGCAGGAAATTTCCACTCAGAGAGCCATAGCTGTGAAGTTCATATACCAATAGTAATAACGGTATCGGTGTTACTGGGAGTAACAGCACCAATAACAGAAATAATCATAGTAAGAATAACGCTGATAATGTCATCAATAGTACCAATACTACCGGTATCCTGTTCCTGGTTAACCATTGATGACGTCCACACGCATACCGCATTAGGATCCATACGAATTAGCAGAACAAACATTCCCCATTGTCAATCTACTGCATGTCATGGAGGTATTGGACGTCATCACACATCCTGATGAATGGTCATTGTTCTCTGCTGTATCATGCCTTGGATAACACCTGAAAGAGAAGAACGTCGAAACAGTGCTTGTTACTCATGCTTACGTCTGCGCTGGCCCTGCTGCTGCTATCCCCGAAGGGTCCATGGAGCTGTCTAATCTATACTTTGGCCCCAAAGTAGTTACATGGGAAACCCTTTGGGTACTAAGTATAAACTACATACCTAATGGATGCTTTGGGATCAGGCGCTGTTTGATTCTCTATTCAAAGTAGATACGACCTAGAAACTGTAGGGGGGTTAGGGTTTAGGGCTTCATAGACTCAGAACCTCAGTGAATGTTAAGGACCATTTTCCCAGGGTAATTCGTGCTGCAGTGTCCCTGGGCTCTGCACGGGACATCTACGGAAGGAGCTGCAGCTGCAAACAAGCCTTGCTGATTATTCAGGGTTACGGGTTTGTGGTTCAGGGTTTAGGGTGTACTGCGGTTTGGGGTTCATGCCAGGTAGGATATATTGCGGCTTCGTGCCGTCTGTACTAGCAAGGGGAACTATAACTGTAGCGGCATGTCTTACGCACTAAGCCCTAAACCCTAAACCCTAAACCTACCTGGCTTACAGGCTCCCAATGCTGTCGGTAAGTGCTTAGGACTTGGGTCTTAGGGCTTACTGTTGAGAACAGTTGGCTTGGGATCGCAGCTAACAAGCCTTTGGGTAAATCTTTGAAATGCAGCTTGAAAATGTTTGAAACCATCCTATGCGCCTCAAAGTCGACGTATGCTCCTAAGTTGAAATCATCTATGCGGGCTTTGTCCTTTGGGAGTAACGTGAGATTCGGCCGCGAATAATGAGAAAAGGCCCAGTTTATGGCCTCGAGCACGCCCACCGCAAAACAGGCTACATACGTGCCGAATAGACTTTCAACATCTGGACGGACATTAAACCTCTGTAACGGAACTACTACATAACATGACATGATGATGCCAACAGCAGGCGTATGTGTATGTAATGCGAAAACCTCGTTGTTGAGGGACCCCCTTGGCAAATCCAACGATCCAGAGTAAACCCTCAAGCGTCCAAGGACCCAAATGTTCAGGTTTTTGGGCCCAAATACTGTAATATTAACATTACTTGGGCCCTAAAACCCTTTTATGTAGGTCCTTGGGCCCTAAACCCTAAAAGCCTAAAACTTGGGTCCTTGGACCTAGGGGGCTATGAAGCCCCACATCCCAAAACCCTATTATATATGTGGGTCCTTGAACCCTTAAGGAACCTCAAACA